CCTGCGGGGACGCGGCTCCACGCCAGCAGCAAGGACAGGACGGGGGTGCTCGGCATGGCCGTGCCTGGCCTCGCCTGCTGCTGCCTTCGGTTTATTGCCCCGGAGCTGGGGAAGGGCTACCTGCGAAGCCAGGAGGAGAGAGAAGCCTCTGCCCTGTGAGCAGACTGCCTGCTGGCAGCCCTGTTGGTGGGCACCATCATCCCCGAGGTGCAATGTCAGGGCCAGTTGCTGTGGCAGGTGGGGGCCGGTTCCACTTCTTGGGGGGTTTAAATACCTCAGCCCTGAATGCAGAAGTGAACCAGTCGCTGCCTCTCTACCTGCCCGGCTTTCTGGCAACTGTCCCCATTCATATCCGACACCTTTCAAAGCAGCCATCCCAAGCAATTTGGCTTTGCCTTTGTTTTTGGTGAAGCAAGTCATGGATTTAACTAGCTGAAGACCTTTTGTACCTTTCATTTGCTTTCCAGAGTTAGCAACCTGTTTCTTTCCTGTGGAGAGGGTGTGTTGGTTGGATAAAGTCACGTGTTTCTGTGGCACTTCAAACTTCCAAGCGTGATGTTTCTTCCAGTCAGATGTAACCAGTGTACACACTGCCTTAAAAACGGAATCTGTTTGTGCGAGTATGTGTGGTAACATGAAGGGATTTCTGTCTTAGTTGTGTTTAATTATTTAAAAGACAAATGCGATACTTTTGAACTAATGTCAAAGTGTACAAAGGAGCGATTACTTTATCTGCTTTGCTTTCTGTGGATGTTGTAGTCATGTCTGAGAAAGACAGTGGTGAAAACCTGAAAGAAGAAACGTCTTACAAAGATGAAAATGAACGGAAAGCAGAGGAGCTTGGCTGCACTGAGAGCAATGAAGGGAGAGAGCAAGAGCTTGAGCCTCTGCCTATGACTCGGAAAAGACCTGAACCCAAACCCCCAAGCCAGCCTGCTACCACAGAAAAGCCCACAGGTGAAACCCACAAGGTATGTTCCTGTGCTCGCTCTGAGTAATGTGGCTTTGAGCACAGAAGAATTCTGAGTGTAAACCCCACTCCTTTTCTGAAAAATCACATTGCTGTTTATCTGAAAAGAAAAAGCTACACAGAAGTTACACGTCACAGACTGCTTGTGTTTCTCTCCTCACCATAATACATACATCACTCTCTTCTGCTTTTCTTTGTTAAAGGCCTCAGATTCTCCTGCTGCAGTTCAGACAGGATGGGGATACTGGGGAAGCTGGGGAAAATCTCTTCTGTCAACTGCATCTGCTACTGTAGCTACAGTAGGTAAGGCCCTTTCTGGTGTTTGATTAATATTTTAATCATGCTTCGTGTCTCAAGCTAGTGCTTTTGAGCTTGTTTCTAGAGAAGGGGATTTCTCTTATAGCAGCAGTTATTGGAAAAACGTCAAGAGAATTGTTCAAGCAATGAGGAAAACTTGTACCAAAAGCTACAGTGAGATCAAGGAGAGATGCACAGCAAAGATTACTTTCAAGTTTTTAAGGTGTTTGCTTAACTTTCAGCTGGTATTTTAAACTGGTATACAGGCAGTACTTACAACTTGATGTAAAAGCTGAGATGGAACCTGAGTTCATTACATTGGTATGCAAGCTGGGTAGTAGTAGGTTCTAGTGCTGGGTAGGCTGTCTTGAACAGGAGGAATCCAGAATAATAAAAAAGAATATGCAGCCCTCATCCTGTTTCTGTTCTGATTTCTGTTGCATCTCATGCCTGAAGTAATACAGCTGTCTTCTCTAGGTCAAGGTATTTCAAATGTCATAGAAAAAGCAGAAACAACCCTTGGGATCCCCAGTCCTAGTGAAATCTCTTCCGAGACTCGAGATGCTACAAGAGGTCAGTTTTTACTGCATAAGAACAACACTGAAACATTTCTCGTAACCTAATCAGCCCCAAAATAACATCGCCTTACTCTGTGCCTTGCATATTGAAGTAGATATCTCTGTGCTAACATAACACTGTATTGTTTACTTCTGTTAGCTCTGAAAAGTAGTAGGAAAATAATCCAAATTCTAGCTCTGCTTCTGGCTGACACTTGGTGTTCATTAATTTTCTCCACTCTGCAGCTGACAGGATCTTTTTTTGGGGATTGAGGAAGCTAATTTTCTGCCTTCTAATGCAGGAAGTGAGAATCCTGGTGCTAGCAGCACAGATGCAGTTGATGATGGCAGTTCCTTTCCTATTGCTGGGGCTCTCGGAGTTTTGTCAACCATCTCTACTGCTGTCCAAAGCACAGTGAGTGAGTTGGGAATGCAGGCGAAAATGGGTTTAAGAGAGCATTGGGCTTTTTGCCTTTCATCTGAAACATCGTAAGAGGAAACTTAACTTTGACTTTTGTGGGATGAATGGTGAGATGTTTTAACCTTCACCTTTATTCTGTGCATTGTTTCTAACTGGCGCTGAATGTGTAAGTTGTCTTGAATTTTGATAGTTCTGTATTAAATGTCGATAAATAACAAAAAAACCTAATGGTGGACTGTGTGGTGTGTGCATTTCCATGCATGTCACCTCAATACTCTGTTATCTTTGCTTCCTTCCTTTAGAGTGTTCAGGTAAATGCAGGGTCAGACACATTCCTGGAATATTTCCACTGATTTCCACAGAACTGTCTAGAGATGAAATCCATTCTCCTCTTCAAAAACTTCAGTGAAACTTGCCCAAATTGCTTGGAAATCAGCTTGCTCCTGTGACCGTGAGAAATACACTTCAAAGGAACACATTACCCTTAGAAACTGTGCTTTTGTGATCTGCTGTCTTGTCAATTTGCCCATGAATTTGAAAGAGCTGCAGATGGAAAGCTTCCTCTTGCTTTTAAGGCTTGAACAAGAGTTAGCAACCAAAACCCACAGGTCTAGTGTTTTCTGATTGGAATGATGAGAACTAAATACTTCAGTGTACTGAGAACCATCTTGTTCACAAAACAAAAATGTATTTCCCATTAGATTGCTGCAGCTGTCTGAGTGCTGTATTAAAATGTTGGATGATAGTGTGTTGTGGCTCTTTCTGTGTCCTCTGCTCTCTTTGTGGTGATCGGGTTTGAATTTTAGGGTGAGAAGGACCAATTTGGCTTTTATGTGAGTGTCTGGTGCAACATTGCTGATATAAATCCCCCAATTCAGTTTCTTCAGTTGTGTAGTCTTCTGTGAGTTTTACGCGCTGTCTGTATCCAAATCTGATTCCTAGGGAAAAAGTGTTATTAGTGGAGGTCTGGATGCCTTGGAATTCATTGGGAAAAAGACAATGGATGTAATAGCTGAGGGAGACCCTGGATTCAAAAAAACAAAGGGCCTAATGAACAGAAGTTCAACATTATCGCAGGTATGGCAGTTCCATATCAACTCCTCATTGGTTTCTCTCATTTCTTTTCCCTCCTTCTGCAGTCCTGTCATTAAGCAACCATTTTTATTATTGAACCAAAATCCTTCTTCTCCCATAGTCTGTATCTGGCATTAACCTGAGTCCTCTGCTTTTCTTTTTCAGGTCTTACGAGAGGCAAAGGAGAAAGAAGAGCAGCAGACAGCTACGGAGGTTGCCATGGCTACGGAGAAGAAAGCCCATTATGGGTTACTCTTTGATGAGTTTCAGGGTCTTTCACATCTGGAGGCCTTAGAGATGCTTTCCAGAGAGAGTGAATCAAAGGTAATGGCCTTGAGCAATTTGCTTTCTACTTTGAGTTCAGCTGAGCAGGGAAAAAAAGATTAGAAATATATGTATATACATGTAAAGTCAAGTGCTCAGAACTTGCTATAAAATTATTGATTACACAACTTCACTTTGACCCCTGCATTATGATCCGGTGTTTACCTTGGGAGCATTATGTCCTGTCCTCAGCTCCTAAAGCCATTCTCTTTACCTGACTAGCCTCAGTTCCTGCATATCTTCAACAACTTTGCACAAATTACTCTCTCCTCACACCCACTTGTTTGCTGCCTTTTTCTGGAAAAGAGGAGGGTATTGCAAGCACAGCAGAGATTATCTTCTCTGTCTTGAGGCAGGGAGGAGGGCAGATCAGTATGCAATTTTAGAAGTCAACATTTTTGTGAAAGAAATTTGATTAAATTCTGAAGAATCCACTTCACAAATAGGTCTTTTTCCCTTTCCTACTTTCTGTAGGAAAATACCACTTTCTTGTTAACATCAATCTGATATTTTTACATGCAACGTAAACCCGTGCTGCATCTTCCATCCTGTTTCTTTTTCTTGTTGGACTTATGATTCTCTCTTTGGCTGTGCTGACCCTAACTAGGTGAAATTGGTTCTAAATGCCCTCTCTGGAGAAGAGTTGGACACACTGAAGGAGGAAATGGAACAACTCAAAGAAGCATTTTCTTTACCTGAATTCTTTGAAGAAGAAGAGGAAGAAAAGAAGGGTAAGAGACCCCCAGGTTCTGGGAGGAGAAGCTGATTCTCGATGAAGTTGATGTAGAACCAACTAGCCCTGATCACTAGCAATGGCTATGATGCCAAAGTTAAGTTGTTCTTTAGCTGGATGCTTAATCCCAAAGCTGTCTATGTCCAGGAGCATGACAGGTAGCAGTACCTTTTATCTCTGAAAAGCTGCCGTGCATTAATTCTGTAGCAGATGCAAGAGCAGGATTAGAGTTGCTTGACACCTGGGCAGTTCATGCCACTGACCTTGAGCCAAGATGCAAATTCAAATAGATGCTGGGTTTCCCTGACCATGAGGGAGAGACTGTGAATAGAGTTGTCCAACCTGTGGGAAAGCAAAAAGCCTTTTTATTTATTTGTCAAATGAGAGTTAGCCACACAGACTGAAAGACTCAGAGGTACCTCCATACACAGAGCCATCTCATTCTTGAGGATTATGCAGATTTAAATGTAAATTTCTTGCATTGCTTTTACCTAAAGGGCTCATCAGGGAGGGCTTACACACCTGCACTTGCCATCATTTAACATTTAATATATTTTTTTATATTTGTATGTGATGGATCTCACAGCCTTCCCCCCACTGTTACATCTGCCCTGCTGTACATAATAGGACAACCGTAGGCTTTAAGTAATATTTCAGACTCTCCAAGGTGATGTGCAAGTTGTTGTTTTTTTTAAAAAAAAGGAATTATCTTAGCTACAAAATGAGAATTGAGAAAGCAAAAGCTAATCTTCTGGCACTGGTGCCTTCACTTTTTCAGAACTTACCTTACAATTGTATTTAAAAAGACCACATTTGATGCATTCTTGCCTGAGGTGATGATTCAAAGAGAAATAAAGGAAACAGTTGACAGACTCATGCAGAACTACTTATGCACTGAAGAGCTGCTTATTCCTGTATCCGTCCTTTGTGTGGATTCTTTAACCTTTCCTGTCCTTTAGGGGATGAGGAGTTCACAAAAGAAGTAACAGAGTTGTTTTCAGAATTGCGTATCTCCTCAAAGCCAGACAAACTGATCATGGTGAGTTATTTCCCATCTTCTAAAACTGGAGAGATTCCTCACAGGAACTGCTTCTCAGTCCTGCTTTGTTTATGATCAAATTCAAGAAAACAAGCAATGTTTTAGATCCTTTGACAATGGTAGGCAAAAGGCCTTTTCCTTTTTACAGGGCAAAATCATGTTCTGTAATGTCTTTGGCTCTGAATCGGTAGACAGCAGTGTGTCTTTGCCGTGTCACTGGGCAGTAATAAGTGGTGGCAAAGATACCTGGGAGCAGTAAGACTTCAGCCACCACAGTGAAATCAACTTACAGTCATGAATTGAAGTCCTCCTCGCGGTACAAAGCAGCTGGGTTTACTACATTCAGAAGTTGGTATGAGGTAGAATTGCCTTTCTTGCCTTCCTTTCACTACCCTTCAGATCCACCAAGTGGCAGCAGCATTCTGCAGACATGTTTTTAAAGCACCTCTGTTAGTCGTGGTCTTCTGGTAAACTCCAGCACCCCGTGCTAGAGAAATGACTTCCCTCAACTAAATCAGTGCAGCCAACCCTCTACAAAGTCCTGAAGGTACTAGGATCATTTGTCCTGGTGCTTCTCACTAGCTCAGGAGTCGTAGCTGTTTCCTTCATCTAGAGAGATCCAATACTCCATGTTTTGTGGTGTGCAGGGGAACTTCTTTCCAGTCATTATATGCTATGGCACATCTTCATACAGGTGAGGACATCTGCTCAGGAATGGATAGCAAGATTCAACAGTAGTCTTCCTAAAGAAGAAAAAGAGAGTGAAGAAAACCAAGAAGCGGAATCTGGAGATGGTGACCACGATGCTAAAACAGTAGAGGTAACTGAGCAATGAAGGAAGAG